GGTTGCATGTTTATAAGTACTTCAAGGACCTCAATAACACAAAATTACAAAATCAGCAAGAAGAAGTGAGAAAGGATAATGATAAACGCTCAGCCCTTTGTGCACATGTAAGAGCTATAACTATTTCAACCAGAACAGAGTCATGTGGACTATGTAAGCATCTAGAATTTGTCTCTGTGATATTTAATATGACAAACAGGGATGCAGAAAGAATACTTTTCTTTGATCAGAGCCGAAATATGAAAGAGGGAATATAAAAAGGGCGTCATGTTCCCAAATTTACAGGCAACCAGAACTGATATAAGTCATTTTCAAGTCAGACTCCTTGAGTGAAAGCCACGATACTAGGTCTTTTCTTTAATTCCTCTTCTAAACCGGTATAAGCAAGTGAGAAGCACACCGGTCAAGAAGAGGAATTAAAGAAAAGACTTATCTTCTTTTCAACATACAAGCTACTTATCTTCTTAAAAAAGAAAACACACACATTCGGTATTCAATTTCTATCTTCCCCAAATAACGAGTTAATTGATGTTTTTTTTAAAAGGTAACAATGACTTAACTGATAAAACTCCATTTCCTACTACCCCCCCCCCCCCCCCCCCCCCCTCTCCTCCCAACGTTGAGACCAGATGCAATAAAGGCAAGTGAAACTGAAAGAGGACAAATAAGGTTTCAAGACATCACATTGATAACAGAAAGCAAACTACAGCCCACTAATTCCCAGATAACTGAGAATTATTTACAACAATAGAGATGATGCAACGTGTCATGACTACATTGCTTTCCATTAAAAAAAAAAACTAGGGAGGAGAACTATAAAAATGCCTAACTAGCTACTGAATCACAATTCGAGCTTTGGTACAGGAAAATTATGCAACAAAAGAAATATTTACTAGACCATCATCCTTTGAAGTCGATAATCTTTTTAGGCACCTAAAATGCTAGAAATATTCTTAGCTAATTCTATAAGTAAATGGTTGTTCTCAGTTTACATATATGGGAATTTAGTTTTCTTCTTAAGAAAATCATGTCAGCATAGCCAAAACCTCAAGAATTACATTGTGTGTTAGCTGAACACAACCCATGAGAAAGAAAGAGAAGATGAAACGGAAGAAAGTCAAGGGATAACTATGATAAGTAATATTATGTTTCAGCGATAATGGGGAACAAAAAAGAGCACAGCTAGCAATAAATAGAGCACAGGGAACATAATAGTAACCTTAAGAGCAAGAAGAAATGTGTACTTCAAACAGCATGAATATTTACCTCCTTCTCAGCAGCACTTCTTCTGTGCTGCTCTGCACTTTTCTCAGCCATTTCAATCTCTTCAAATGGATCAATATACATCTGAAAGGGAAGAAATAAGTAACATAAGAAAATTTCGCTTCGTAACTTTTACTTACTCGAAGAAAACTACCAAAAAAGGGGTAAGAGACTAGCTAACAGATTCTACAAGTGTCAAGAAGTCCCACAAAGCTGTAATTTTTTCTGGGCCTTTTTACTTTGTAAATACAAAGTTAAGTCGTAATGAAATAACATTCTAATAGGGTTGGTCACTTCTAGAAAGGAGTAATTACATACATGAGGCTGCATTTCCATCCTTCCACCAATAATAACCAAGCCTGAATCTCCATGTTTTACAGTGTAATTACTTACGGAAATTGCTATCTCCCTGTGATGAGCATTATGTGGAAAATCCTCCTGTACGAATTAACCAGGAAGAACAAATAGAACATAAGTTTATCAGAAAGTATATCAGAGGTTTCTGTAATTCAAAATGTGAGAATCTCCAAGCATAAAAGCACCTGCAAGTTGACCTCCCATAGCTTTTTGAGATTGTGATCGAAACACATCACAGACCAACCTGAGGTAACAACAACTAGGACCTGCTTACGAGGCTCCCTGTGATTATAGTTCCTATCTATCACACCAGTGGCCATCGCCACTGCTCGTCTGCCTGAGACAATACGAATTTTGTCAGGCAAGAGGGACACCTCCGCGAGCAAACGTGCTTCACTGAAACCTTCATCAACACGCCTAGAATGTGGTTCCAAAACCTAAAAAAACCAAACGACAGACAAGAAATTTTCCAGCAAACAAAGTAGATTGAGCTTCATCGGAAAATTGATTAAGAAGTTTACTAAATGTTGCTCAGAAATTGTCAAGCCTAGTGTACTGTCCAGCCACACAGAATAAACCAAAGATCGAACGGAAGGGCAGATTGAGACTGCTTCAATAGTGCAGTCGCACGCATAGCTTTTTCCAGAGGGTAGGGAGCCTCAGCTTATGCATTGGTTTATCGAAATAACCTCTACTCTCCCAGTTCCTTATATTCAAAAAGGTGAGCAGCCTTAAACAAAAATGCCCTCTGAGGACTCTCTATACTTGTATAATCCGTAAAGTATTTGGCTTGCCCTTTATATCTTATTAGTCAAACCTAATCGTTTATACATGCACACTTGGAACTCACTGACTATAAATCCTATATCTAGTCTCTGATCCTATGGGATTGTAATTAAGGAAATTACCTGAATTTTGGCATCGTGAGTTGCGACAAGGACCTCTTTCTTGCCATCACCGTTGAGATCGGAAACAATTGGGGGAGGAAGACGCTCGGCCTCGTATTTGATGGGATACTCTTCGGATAGATGAAACCATGCCTCCTTGAACGATAAATCACCTTCGTGCTGGTAATTATATACATAGCCAATAAATACAAGTTTAAAGTAGGAATTTTTAGGAAAAGTGATACTCCAGTATTTAAGAAGCTAGGGTTCTTGAAGATCGGTGCTATTTTTTGGCACTATGAGAATGGCGTTGAATAGAGAAATGAGGATGAGAAAAAAGAATACCTGAAGAGAAAAGAAAATAGCGAAAGCAGATAGCATCAGAATAGCTAAATCGCGCTTCCTCATCTTCGTTCTTCCTTTTCTTCTGCTTCTTCTTCTCGTTGTTGTTGATCAACGACTCACTGAGTCGAAACACTGCTGTAGCGTTCTCAGCTTCGACAGACAACAGAGTGGTAACGTTTGAGTACGGGTTCATCTTCCTGCCGACCCGCCTACTAGTCGGATCCAATAAAATTGGATTTTTATTTTCCTATACACTATTTCATACTTTATTAACCTCCTGCTCAAGTTTTAATCTAACTATATTATATATACAAAATTATCAATTATATATATTTTTGGGTATTTAACGATAATAATTAAATCCTTAAATCACTCTAACGTCTATATATCACTCCCCACGTTTCTCTCCCCATACCCTTCAAAAATCCCTCTACATTTTTCACTCTTTTTCAAAAATCTCTCTCTATTTTTATAGATTCAAGCTCTAAATACTCTACCACACACCTCCGTTAAAAGGTGTTCAAATAGTTTGTCCACAAAAGTTTTCTGTAAATTCCTGGAGTTAGCTTCAAAAACTAACGGCATATGAACATCCTTTTGGTAAACGGGAAAATAGATTTACGAACTTGGAATTATTAGCAGGCATTTAATAAGTGGGAGTTCAGGGCCCCAACTAATACAGTTATTTACTTTATTGATTACTGAATAATCTGCAGAATTGAGTGGCGGAGCAGTTCTTATTATTGACTAGGCGTTTGGAAATAAGAATTGTAAAATTCGAAAAAATGGTGAAAATGGTGTTTGAAATTTAGAGTTGTGTCTGGACATAAATTTTAGTTTGGGTTATTTTTTAAGTTTTGTGAGTGATTTGAGTGAAAATTTTAAAAAATGATTTTTTGCCATTTTTTCAAATTTTCGAAAATTTTCAAAAATGCATCTTCAAGTGAAAATTGAATATTTTATGAACAAATGCTGATTTTGAAAAAAGTGAATTTTTTTTGGAAAAATCTTCCATCAAATTTTATGACCATAGGGCCTCTAAGTCTCATTGTACCCAACGACTCAGAGCAGGAGGTAGCCCCACCCAACTAAAGCAATTAAATAAGCAGTTGATGCCACGGAGAAAAGAAATATAATAGTCCTTCCCATTTTATATGATTGTGTTTGACCTAATACGGAATTTACTAAAGCCATTAAAAAGTTTTGAAACTTTGAATTCGAATTTGGGTTTTCAAAAACCATTATTTGTTTGGATTGGGTGTTGTTGCAAACAATTGAGAATATTATTTGGAGTTTATATCTCAAATTTGAGGATGTTTTGGTGAAGATTAGACTTAATTTTGGCTGAATTTCAGATTGAAACTCGAAGAAGAAGAAAAGAAGAAGAAGACATGACATACATTATACTTACGAAATTATAGTAAAGTTGTAGTAAAATTGTAGAAAAATTATATTTTGTTGTTTGTATATTTTGTTTTATTTAAATATTGTATGAATGCTGTATAAAATTGATATAAAAATTGTATTTAAATTGTATGATATTGTAGTTATATATAATTGAGTAGAAATAATGTATGAAATGTGTAGATAAATTATAGATAAGTTGTATAATATATAATTAGTTGTATGAAATTTATTTTTACTATGTATAAATCAGATACAAAATATACAAAAGACATATTGTATAAAATTTGTATAAACATTATAGTTAGGTGGTATGATATTGTAGTTGTATATAACTAGGTAGAAATAATGTATGAAAGTTGTAGATAAGTTGTAGATAAATTGAATAACATATAATTAGTTGTATGAATTTATTTTTTCTATGTATAAATCAGATGCAAAATATACAAAAGACATATTGTATAAAATTTGTATAAAAATTGTAGTTAAGTGGTATGATATTGTAGTTGTATATAACTGGGTAGAAATAATGTATGAAAGTTGTAGATAAATTGAATAATATATAATTAGTTGTATGAAATTTATTTTTATTATGTATAAATCAGATACAAAATATACAAAAGACATATTGTATAAAATCTGTATAAAAATTGTATTTAAGTTGTATGATATCGTAGTTGTTTTTAACTAGGTAGAAATAATGTATGAAAGTTGTAGATAAGTTGTAAATTAAAAAATTTCAAGGAAGCTAGCTACCAAAAATTCTCTGTATCTTCTATATTAATCTCTTGCGCAATGTCTATGTCGATCTTCAACTTAAAGTTTCTTTTAAAAAGTTAAAAAAAAAATAGAAAAAGCCTAATGTTTAGATTTGTGTTTTTAAATACTAACAGGAGAATGATGAACATTTTGATTAATCATATTTATATTATGTTTTGGGGGTGGAGGGGGATGGAAGGTTGAAGATTCCCTAGAATATGCACCGAGAAGCCTATGGTTATCAATTCAACATGATCAAGCCGAATGCATACAATTCATGAGAGGATAGACCCTTTGTTATGCCTTCTACCCAAATTGTTTCAGAAGTTTAAGCTTTTTCTGACTTTCCAGGCGTGAAGAAAGATCGGCAGATTTCTTTTTAGTGTCCTCTAATTCTTTCTCAAGCTCCTCTATCTGTGTCATCCAACAGGACAGAATAAAATTGATGCAAATATGTTAGATAAAAAAGGTGCCATTACTAGACTAAGTTCAATAACATAACATAAAAGAAAAACTAAGTATCAAACACATGCTCCGCATGGAAGTGCTACATACTGTACGTTTCAACTCGGTTTCCCTTTGGATGTATGACTCACACCTGTCGAACAAAGATTCAAAGTGTTAAACTGGTAGAGCCAATCAGTTTAGTTGCTAAACATTTTGTGATCACACGAGGAGGCCAAAAGCCGATACAAACTAGAGAAGGAAACAGGAAATAAGGATTAGTCCAGAAACTACATTCAGGCTTCTTAAATCAGAGATGTAAGAGAGATAACGGACGAGAAGCTTATATCTTTAAATCTCCAAGGCAAATTTAAGTGCAAAACCAAATTCAAAGGTTCAAAACATTAATCATGTACTCATATTGGAAGGCTCATGCCACAAGAATCAACATGCGGTTGTCACTCATCCATTGATCAACAAACTCGAGAGGAAACAGTAGCATGAATTCTGCAGAATCTTCTTCCCCTCAAATTCAATTGCTTTACACTGCAACCCTTAATCTTTTTTTTAAAAAATAATGGTGGTGTCCATGCCAGCTTACGCGTACCTGAACTAACCCACGGGGTACTTGTTGCCTTGCACCAGCACCAAGTACCAGATAATTTTGTCCACCAAGGCTTAGATATATGGGAAGAATCATCTAGCATTTTCTGTCTCTATTGGGATTTCAATTCTATTCTTTCATGGTCCATTCCAAGCTTCATTGATTGCTAGACAAGACACTTTGCATGCCACTACACCCCTTGATTTTCCTGCCACCCACCATGTTAAAGGCTTTTATTCTGTTCTAATGAAGGAGAGATGACTTTTTACATCACATCATGATCCTTTAATTTCCACCAGAACTTGTCAACGATTAATCATGTGCAGCTCCTACGATGTGTTTTCTGACCAGGTTTGACAATACTGGCAGAGCGGGCCAAAGATCGTTCATATTCTGTTTTGTTATATTTCGTGGTTATGATTGTTTAGTTTGTCTTAGCACAAGGTACAGAGTTTGCCTGGTAAGCCAACCCAGGCCACGACCCTTCATTTTTTGGCGTTGTGACAACACTTTGACAACAAGAATGAGCAACGAGAGAACCAGAAGATAAGCCCGAAAGCATAACTAACAAACGAAGAAGAGACACACCAGAAGAAGGAAGTAATTATTGAAAAGAAAAAGAAGAGAGAGATTAGTAACAGAAAAAAAAAGAAGCAATTGCAAGCCAAAGAACAAGGACACAAACGAAAATTACAGTAATGCATATGTAGAAGAGTTCTACAGTAGCAAAAGGCTTAAAATTTGTTCTCTTCCTTTAACTTTTGATAACAAATCTATGATATTGCTAAACATTATCTAAGGTCATTTTTGTACTAAGATTTTATCTGAGTACTCCAGCATAGCATACGTAGGACAAAGATTTCAATTTGGACTACAATTCCCTAATAGAAATACAATCTGGGTGGATATAATCCCACCTTATCCAATATGGCCATGAATCCTGTTATCAACAATCCAATCTGAAGGGATACACCCACCTTATCCTATATGAGGTACCAAATGACTCTTTAAGTGTATAAATCCATCATTGATTAATCAATTATGCAAGGTTAACTATATGCCATGAGGCTGTATCTTAAAAGAGGGCATATTTTTAAAGAAGCATGTACCTCCTAAAGAGTTGGATATTCTCTTCACAAATCTGATCAATTGACATGCAACTTGAACTGGCTATTTGTGTATCGTTTTTAACAGATCCCTGCAAATGTTCCATTAAAGAAAAAAATGAAACAGTCAAACCCCGTTTTTGTACTGTTATAATAAATTGACATTATTCAACTAGACATTTGATAACTTTAGGAACATGAATGTTGTCACATTAACTTCTCAACCATGCAAAACCAGCATAGACGATAAAGTAACTCAAATAAATGCCGAGAAAAGAAAGAACCAGGTCCTACAGTTGCATTCCCTGTAATAGGTTGTACAGCTGGCAATTCCCTATTGGAATTGGTTCTTCCCACTTTTTCACTCTGCACAGAACGGAAATCTGGCCTGGGATGAGCTGCAAGGCCGGTAACTGGCTGACGGTCAATAGTTGGCGACTGTATTTGAGCATTATCCACTTGCTCTCTCAGAAGATTTTGCAAATGTGGTTCAAGAGGCTTCAGTCCTATCAGGTGACAATGACCTTTCCTGTATTATGATCACAAGAGACATGACTATATCACAAGTTGTGAGGTACTACTAGTTTAGTGACTAACACTGATAAATTACAATGATGATGACAAATTACAATTTTGGCAGTAGTTTTGTAGAAGTAATAGTAGGTAGATGGAGACAGGATAGAGGAGAAAAGTACAGCCAAGGATACCTTAAGCTGGGAAAATAAAGTATAACCTCTACCCCATCCCCTTTTTATCTGATGGAACGTTTAATTGTATTTCTCAGTAAGCAAGATCAAGAGGGTATAATCTTGGGCGGGAGCACTAACAATCAAGACTGGCCACATGTGCTATAGCTAGCTCATGACTTGAAGCAGGATTTGACTACGAGAGAGTTTT